ATTAAAATGTGCTGTCCTTAAGCTAATGTTACAGAAACACACACTCCTCCAGTGTTTTTGAAGAATGCTGCTGTATACACTAGCAATGCAGTGCCACAGTATCAGGGACATCATATTGTGCTTACGCTACATTTACCAGCACCCGCCGGATGAAGCAAAATAGTGTCTGCTTTGGAAGAAGAAATGATACACGGAATTGTTTGTGCTCAGATAACGTTGCTTTAATAAATCTGACAAATTATTCTAGCAGCTGGCCGTTAATTCAAGCCTGATTAACACATTAGTGTGAATAAATCAGGAAGAGACAGCAACTCCAAGCCCCTAACACTTATTAGGGTTTCTTTTTACACATGGAAAAACAGAACTTAGCTGACTGCTTTTTACATAATTATAAAGGGTGAAGCTTAAGTGTGGTAGAATTGTAAATTTTGCCACATGTCATAAAACTACCTTTTTAATGCATGAAACAAAAAATCATCACATCATTGAACACACAAGCATTTCTTCCATTCTAAGACACACTTTCCCCCATATATAAACATCTCTAAAAATGGGGTGCATCTCAGAATGGCAGGTGTGTCTTATATTTTTGGTTGGTGGTGGTACTGAAATTAAGGTGCGTCTTACGATCAATGTCATCTTACAATTGACAAAATACAATATTATTTCATTTTGCACAGATTGCAGACCTTCTCTCTCTGCCCCACATCCTAGGGCCCTTCTACACTATATAATCATATAATCCAAAATATCAAGGCAGATAATCCACATTATCTGAGGCCCCTTCCACACAGCTGTATAAAATCCCCATTGAACTGGATTATATGGTAGTGTGGACTCAGATAACCCAGTCAAAAGCAGATATTGTGGATTATCTGCCTTGATATTCTGGGTTATATAGCTGTGCGGAAAGGCCCTGAGTCTACACTGCCTGATAATCCAGTTCAAAGCAGATAATTTTATTTCCTTCCACACAGCTGTATACAATGCACATTGAACTGGATAACAACAACAACAACAACAACAACAACAACAACAACAACAACAACTTTATTTCCTGCTCCTTCTACCTAAATGGAATCTGGGCAGTGTACAAGTCAACAACAGCCCAACACAAAACATATAAAACACAACAGAAATTAGCCAAAATCAATAAACAGCACCAAACAACAACATACAGGGATTAACATAAGACACCTCAGCCCCCTTTCACACAACTGAATAAAATTCCACATTATCTGCTTTGAACTAGGATATATGGCAGTATGGACTCTGATATTCCAGTTCAAAGCAAATATTATGGGTTATTCTGCCTTGACATTCTGGGTTATATGGCTGTGTAGAAGGACACTCAGATAACCCAATTCAAAGCAGATAGTGTGGGATTTTCCGCCTTGAGATTCTGGGATATAGGGCTGTGTGGAAGGGCCCTTAGTGTGGACTCGGATAACCCAGTCCAGTGCAGATATTGTGGATTATCTGCCTTGATGTTCTGGATTTTTATATCACTGTGCAGAAGGAGCCCTATATGAGTGTGTAGACAGGCAAAAATGTGTGTGGGGGGGGGGAGATGCTAACAACATAAATATATGGGTTGCTGTGAGTTTTCACGGCTGTATGGCCATGTTCCACAAGCATCCCCTCCTGATGTTTCACCCACATCTATGGCAGGAATCCTCAGAGGCTGAGGAGGCTGTTGGAAACGAAACCTCACTGGCTGAGTTTCCGACAAACCTCACAACCTCTGAGGATGCCTGCCATGGATGTGGGTGAAACGCTGGGAGAGAATGCTTTTGGAACATGGCCATACAGCCCGGAAAACACACAACAACCCAGTGATTCTGGTCATGAAACCCTTCGACAACCCATGGGTTATCTGAGTCCACACTCAGGTAATGTGGGATTTTCTGGCTTGATATTCTGGGATACAGGGCTGTGTGGAAGGGCTCCAATGATTCTGGCTATGAAAGCATTTGGCAACACATTGAACATAAATATAATTTGAAATAATGGCTCACTTCCTTGACCTTTGGGGTAATCGAACTAGTAGGGCTCCTCTTGCTAGAGAATAACCTCAAAGCAACTGCAAACATTCATACGATCCAGCTGCAGAACTTTAAAGCAATTCCAACCCCATATAAAAACTTTCATCCCACCCATCTGCCCTTTCAGGTGATCGTGTCCCTTCATCTCAACCCAACTGAAGGAGCCCCTGGTGGCGCAGTGAGTTAAACCCTTGTGCTGGCAGGACTGAAGGTTGACAGGTTGCAGGTTCGAATCTGCCTTGGTTATACCACACCTGGAATATTGTGTCCAATTCTGGGCACCACAATTCAGGAGAGATATTGACAAGCTGGAATGTGTCCAGAGGAGAACGACTAAAATGATCAAGGGTCTGGAGAACAAGCTCTATGAGGAGCGGCTTAAGGAGCTGGCCATGTTTAGCCTGAAGAAGAGAAGGCTGAGAGGAGATATGATAGCCATGTATAAATATGTGAGAGGAAGCAAGCTTGTTTTCTGCTTCCCTGGAGACTAGGACGCGGAACAATGGCTTCAAACTACAAGACAGGAGATTCCATCTGAACATGAGGAAGAACTTCCTGATTGGGAGAGCCATTCAGCAGTGGAACTCTCTGCCCCGGAGTGTGGTGGAGGCTCCTTCTTTGGAGTTTTTAAACAGAGGCTAGATGGCCACCTGTCAGGGGTGCTTTGAATGCAACTTTTCCTGCTTCTTGGCAGGGGGTTGGACTGGATGGCCCATGAGGTCTCTTCCAACTCTATGATTCTATGAGAGCGCGGATGAGCTCCCTCTATCAGCTCCAGCTCCTCATGCGGGGACATGAGAGAAGCCTCCCACAAGAATGATAAAACATCAAAACATCTGGGCGTCCTCTGGGCAACGTCCTTGCAGGCAGCCAATTCTATCACACCAGAAGTGACTTGCAGTTTCTCAAGTCACTCCTGACACAACAACAAAAAAAACCTAACTGTATAACAACTGTGTAGATTCATTTGGTTTTTTATATTTTTATTTATTTATTTGAAACATTTATATTCCGCCCTTCTCACCCCGAAGGGGACTCAGGGCGGAGCACAGCATGTACACGGCAAACATTCAATGCCGGGACACAAATTCACATACATAAACATTAAAAAACATTTATCAAAATATTAAAATACACCATTTAAAACCGTCCTATTTATTAATTTATTTAATACAATTGTATACCACTCTTCTCAACCCGCAGGGCGACTCAGAGCGGTTAACAAAGCAAATACAATACATAAACATGATAAAAACAGTTAAAAACAAGTTAAAAGAATAACATTATAACAATCAATAAACATCATCTCATCACATAACAACCAGGTCTTCACTTTCCTCCGAAATGTGAACAGGGAGGGGGCCAATCTAATTTCTGTGGGAAGGGTGTTCCACAGCCGAGGGGCCACCACTGAGAAGGCCCTGTCTCTCGTCCTAGCCATCCACATCAAATCCAATTGGCCCTGTCATCTTCCCCACTGCTGCTTCATTGCCCTGTCCTGAAAGCTTGGTCCCACAGCCAAGTTTTTACCATCTTTCTAAAGGATAGGAGGGAGGGGGCCGACCTGATCCCACCAGGAAAGCAGTTCCATAGCCGGGAAGCAATCACCAAGAAGGCCCTGTCTCTTTTTTAAAATAAAAAGGTCATTGTTGTTCATTTGTTCAGTTGTCTCCGACTCTTCGTGACCTCATGGACCAGCCCACGCCAGAGCTCCCTGTCAGCCGTCACCACCCCCAGCTCCTTCAAGGTCAGTCCAGTCACTTCAAGGATGCCATCCATCCATCTTGCCCTTGGTCGGCCCCTCTTCCTTTTGCCTTCCACTTTCCCCAGCATAATTGTCTTCTCTAGGCTTTCCTGTCTCCTCATGATGTGGCCAAAGTACTTCAACTTTGCCTCTAATATCCTTCCCTCCAATGAGCAGTCGGGCTTTATTTCCTGAAGTATGGACTGGTTGGATCTTCTTGTGGTCCAAGGCACTCTCAGAACTTTCCTCCAGCAACACAGTTCAAAAGCATCTATCTTCCTTCACTCAGCCTTCCCTAAGGTTCCAGCTCTCACATCCGTAGGTTACTACAGGAATACCATTGCTTTAACTATGCGGATCTTTGTTGCCAGTGTGATGTCTCTACTCTTGACTATTTTATCGAGACTGGACATTGCTCTCCTCCCAAGAAGTAAGCGTCTTCTGATTTCCTGGCCACAGTCTGCATCTGCCTTCCCTAAGGTCCAGCTCTCACATCCGTAGGTTACTACAGGGAACTATGCGGATCTTCATTGCCAGTGTGATGTCTCTAATCTTTACTATTTTATCGAGATTGGACATTGCTCTCCTCCCAAGAAAAGGTCATACTCCAAAAAAAAACCCAACAACCTAACTGAAGTGTCATTCATTCAGCATTCAGCACTGAGCACAGGATTTACCTGCAAAGGCAGCTGGGTGGAAGGAAAGAGCCAAGCCAAACTCCACAGGCAAAAGGAGTAGCCTTGCACTGATGGATTGTGTCAATCCCTTCGCTTTCCTTTCCTTCCTTGTATCTGAGCAAAGCCAGCGAGAACCTGGAGCTGGAGAGGTGGCTCCCTAGCTCAGCAGTGGAACCAAATTGCATCAAAACCACCCTCCAGGCACATTTCCCCTTCCCCCGCTGCAGCAGGCACTGCGATAAAAAGGAAGGAGGGAAAAGGAGACTGGCAGGAAGCAGGAGGGGAGGCAAAAGAGGTGAACAATTCTCAGACTCAGGAGGAGGCCGGCCAGAGGCGCCAAATGGGAGTTGTCCCTCCTTGGCCCCCTTCAATGGGGAGCAGCAGGGTCAACAAGTCCTTCAAAGCTCTCTCTTGCCTCCCCCCACCCTCCCAGATGCCACCTCGCGCCTAGAGGTCGGGGGTTCCTGTCAGGCACCTCAGGAAAGGAGAGGGGAGGGAGGGGGAGGCGCAGGAGGGGGAGAAGCCACCTCTCACCTTTGCAGCTGAGGAGGTGGACAGCGTCCCAACGCTTGGCTTCCCTCCTTGGGCTCTCGCCGGGCAGAGGAAGTGGGCAGCCTCCCCAGACTGAAGGAAGAGGGGTCTCCTTCGGTAGGAAGCACCTCAAGAGGGAGGGAGGGGTCGGCAAATGCCTCCTTCGCTGGAAGAGGCTGCTGCTACTGCTGCTTCTCCCTTTTTCCGCACTCGCTGCCCAGTGCCCTCTTCTCGCTGCTGCCGACACCTGGCCGGGACCCCAACCGGCCAATCAGAACGAAGCAGCGGGTCCTAGAGGAGGAGGAGGAGGAGGAGGAGGGCAAGCGCGGGATGAAGGAGAAGAAGGGAAAGGGGGATGGCACGCGGCGGAATGCACGCGCGCGCGCGGAGGCACGCACGCGCCCTTGGCCCGGAGCTCTCCAGGAAAGCGCGGGGTTCGCAGCCCTCTCCGTCCACCTCCTCCTCCTCCTTGCCTTCTTCTCTAATAATAAAAGCTGGAGGGGGAGAAGTCAGGGCGCACGCGCCGAAGGTTCCTCTCTCTCTCGCGCGCGCGCGCTGGGAAAGCTAGGCCGTAGGGCACGCGCTGCTTCCTTCACTCGCCCGCGCGCCCCCTCCCTCCCTCCGTTCCTGACGTTGCTTGAGGAAAAAGCGTAGTTCAGGGGCAGCGGGAAATGTGTTGGCTGTTGTACTTCTGGGTCTGAAAGGCATGGAAAGGAACCTCCTGGGGCACGCAATGTCCTCAAGCAAGGGGAAGGAAGGGTGGGTCTTCATTTAATCTAGAAGAGGTTTAGCTAAAGGCTGACTAGAAGTCGCATTGAAATGCTCAGGAATGTGAGGAATTACATCCCTCAAGAGTGTTGAGGACAACACAAGGGTTTTGTGTTAGAGCTCAGGCTGTGATTGTGTTTAAGGACCAGGGTGCTTTAGATGTGGGAAGTGATGACAATAAGTTTCAAGAAGGTAATGGTCTGGTCAATGATATTGAAGAAGAGAAGAAGAAGAACTTTATTGGGTTGTAGGTTTTTTCGGGCAATATGGCCATGTTCTAGAGGCATTCTCTCCTGACATTTCGCCTGCATCTATGGCAGGCATCCTCAGAGGGTGGGAGGTCTGTTGGAAACTAGGAAAAGTGGGTTTATATATCTGTGGAATGACCAGGGTGGGAGAGAAAACTTAGTCAAACTATCAGCCCCCAATACCTTAACTGACTCATCCATGCCCATTGTGCAGGTACACTGTACCAGGAGCTCCAATTTTGTTTGCTTTGCATTGAATGTTTGTTGTAGTCCTAAGTTTCAGGGACTCTGCAGATAGGTGGCTTCTTTTGGCTGCAATCATAGGGCAAGCCACCTGTCAATTATAGTTAGTAGGCCTGGGTAACAACGGAAAAATTTGTTTCTAAAATCGATTCGTTTTTTGGGGGGTTTTGCGTTTCGTTATTTAAAATAATTACAAAATTTTCCTTTAAAAAGTTCGATATTTACGAAATTTCGTAAATGGTAAAAAATTAACGAATCGATTTCCGAAACAAGAACGAATCGATTCGTTAATGGCGGACGCGACCGCGCAATACGCTAAAAAACCTCCAAATGGGACAGGGGGAACTTCTGAAGCTTAATTAAACCAAAAACAACTATAAAAACCCTTAGAAAACCAAAAACAACTATAAAACTTGCCCCAGACATGCGGAAATAATAACGAAACGACCTCAAAACGATAACAAAACGAATACAATAACGAAATACAAAACATTTACGAAACGATTTAAAAATTCGTTTTTTTAAAAAATTGCTCCAGACTGGTTCGTTATCGTTTTGTAATTGAAAAATTAACGAATTTTTTAACGAATTACGAATTAACGAAACGAAACCGCCCAGCCCTCAATTATAGTTAGGTTCCCTGGTCACGCCCCCTTTTTGGGTTTTTGGAGGGAATAGGAGCCATTTTTGGGTTCAGTCCACACAGAGAAGCCTTTCATGCAGGACATAATACCAAGAGCTCCTGTAGAAAGCTTCGTCTTCTACAGCTTGGCCAGGGAGAAAAGGCCCCACGGCTTGGCCAGGGTTATACAGCCCTACAGTTCCTTTGCTGAAGGACTTCAGTCAGCCATCACCAAAGCCCGAATTCCTTCTTTTTTCCCTGGAAGTCTACAAAGCTCTGCTTGGTAAGGGTCACTCGTGGAAGCCAGAAGCAGTTGGTACCGGGTGCAGGGGCTCCATGCCAACAGAGGCAAAGACAGACTGCCCAGATTAGAAGTTAAGGATTTCCCTATTAGCTAAAATACAGTTTATGAAGATAGTGCCTGTTCCCTGTGGACAAGATTGAGAGAGAGCCAATAGACTGTTAAGAAAGCTTTAAAGTACCTGTTTGTTTTCATTAATAAAGAACATTGTTGAACCTTTAAGCAATCTAAAGACTCTGTTTTAAGGAAATCCAAAGGCCTTTAATCTGAGGCAGCCCCGGCATCCTGTTGGGCACACAGAATTTATGTCCTGTCTACAGTCTGATTCACAGGCCCAGCGTGCAACAGCACAGATGGCCTGGCAGGTTTTTGGTATGGCTTGTTAGTGCCTGGGGGAATCTTTTATTGAGCTAATCACCTCTAAACAAAAGATTCCCCGAGGCAGTAACAAGCCACACCAAAAAAAACCTGCCAGGCCATCAAATGCTAATCAAGGTGGTCAGTTGAAACATTCAACTGTTGAGCTAATAACCTTTCAACAAAACAAAGGAGTGTGGAAGGGGGTAGAAAAATTAAAAGGGTTGAAGAGTAAAAGTGTGTGTGTGTGTATGGGGGGGAGTTGGCTTCCAGTCTTTGCCAGAACTGTTTCCATAGTCCATTACTTCTCTTATTTATTGGTATTTCTTCTTTGACTCTCCATCCTCTAGAGAACAATTTTTTGTTCAAAGGTCGCACGTGGCGGTCCAATTAATTTTTTTCTAACCATTCTGGGTTTTTTTTTCAATGGAGTCCTGTGATATTAATTATGTCAATTTGTACATTTTCATTACTTCCATTATCATTAACATGCATTGATCATCTGTTGGTATTTCTTTCAATCTCTATTTCTGAGCATAGATTACTCTGGTTGCTGTTGTGAAGTATGTGAATAATTTCTCTTTGTCCTTATTTATTACAAAATCCATGAGTCCCGATAAAAAGTATTCAGGTTTGAACTGAATTCTTATATTCATTATTTTCTGGTAGATTTCTCTCCAATATATATTTTTTTACAAATGTACAGGCTCACCACATATGAAAAAAGGTTCCTGTTTGCTCTTCATAGTTCCAGCATTTATCATTTAAGTTTAGGTAGAATTTTAATAGTTTTTGTGGTGTCATAAACCATTGGTATAGCATATTATACAAATTTTCTTTAAGATCGTGGGGGTATGTAAATTTCAGTTTTTTGTTCCAGATTTTTCCCATTCCGCTAATTGTCATAGGCTTTTAAACAGAGGCTGGATGGCCATCTGTCAGGGGTGCTTTGAATGCAATTTTCCTGCTTCTTGGTAGCAGGTTGGACTGGATAGCCCATGAGGTCTCTTCCAACTCTTTGATTCTATGATTCTAAGAGTATCTAATATAAAAACAGTTTCAAAATAGTGTTCAACATAAGCAGACTAAGCATTCACTAAAGTACCAGCAAAACCCAGCATGCAAAAGCAATTTCCAAGTTACAGCCATGAGCTAGAGTTCCAGGGGCTTAACAAAAAGCAATGACCAACTCTTCATATGTATTCCAAAAATCACCGAAGGCAAAAGCAAGAAATTGTCATCCAGGATTGTTGCACTTCAACCAGAATTATATCTAAAAACTTGAAAACACGAACATGACCATAATCCAAAGGTTTGATACTTGAACTTGGCTATAATCCCAAAGGCTGAAAACTTGAAACAAGATTTGTAATCCAAATAGGAGGCATGGAACTTAAACAGAAAAACAAGAGACAGGCTCAAGAACAGAACTCCGAACTTGGAGCTCCCAAGACAGACAACTTGATACATGAAAATCCAACATTGATCTCCCACCAAACATTGACTCCAATTCCTTAAGAATATTCCTTATTGCCCATGACATCCTTTCTAACATCTGGGTTCCCTTTGTTTATCTTTCAGCCTCTGAGAACAACAAATTTGTCTTTGTTTCACACTATCCTGTCTGAGCTGTAAACACTGGGTTATCTGTAACCTCCTGTTTCCTCCACATTCCTTTCAGAGTCACTCCCTGGCCATTTCTCATGAGAATCACTGCCTGTTTCCTCGACAACGGATCTATCCAAAACATTCCCATCATCTTGAAAAACACTTTCATTTTCCCCCATAGAAACCCCAGGCTCAAACAGAAAATCCTATCCTCATCCTCAGAGGCTTCACAGGCCTCAACACAGGGCAAGAGTGCTGTACAGCATGAGCAGAAGGCATGGTTTTAGTCAAAACAAGAGAAATCTCCCAAGGCTTGAACTCTTCCATCTCTCACCTTAGAAAGAAGAGTGTTGTATTTCCCTAATTGCTCTTATCCAATTATCAATCTCATTACAACTTAATTCGTCTTTCCATAACTCGAACAAAGTATGTTTTGTATTGTATTTTTAAAAATTATTTTTATAAATAAATCCCCCGACTTTTTTCTCTTTCACTAGTTTCCATTTTTAAATTTGGTCTAAGTCTGCTTCTGGGCTTTCCTTGCTTTTCCATTCTATAATCCTCTGTCTCATTCCATGCCATAATAGCCAGTTTCTTTGTCCGCACTTATTCGTTAACTCATCCCATTTTTAAAACATTTAAGGATATTGGAAACACAACCTAAAATATTGACAAAATGATATCAAATCCCAAACCAACTGATCCACATTACAAATAAAATATTACAATTTTGTTGCCATAAATGTGGGGGAATTTGAGAGTTTATCCATATGTGGTGGGACTGCGAAAAATTACAAAATGTCTATAAAAAGATTAAGGCTGAGATGGAATAATTACTAGGGAGAAGAATCGAACTAAACAAAAAACCAATACTTCACCCAACAAATTGTAGGCAATAAAGACCAGATCGAAATTACAAAATATATTATGGTAGCTACCCAAGCAACAGTTGCCTTAGAATGGAAAGATTAAAGAAGATGGGAATTTAAAAATGTATATACTACTTCTCATTTCCAAAATGTTTTACCATTTTTGTGTTTGATGTCACACCAAATATGTGAATCAAATGAAGAGGAGGAAGAGGAAGAAGTTGTCCAAAGGTACAAAATTCATCCTTTGTAGACTGGAACACACAGGCCACCTCAGATTTAAAAAAACCCTGTCTATGTGCATTGGATGAACCTGCTTTTTTTTTTTACACTAACATTTACCTTCACTCCCCAAATTTTTGGCAAATTGTGGTCAAACATCTCTTCAGTAGAGCTGGTAGAACTCGTAGCTCTCAAATACTGAATATCAACTTATCTTGTTTGGAATAACTTAGCCACAGTGGGGTAGTCCTAAACATGAAGGAGCCAAGGAGTTGGAAC